GACACGACCGGGGGGGGTGTTCCCGAAGGGGGGGTCCCCGGTACGAACGTCCGAGCGCCGGGCCCCCGGGCAGCAATAACCGGGATGGCGGCGCTCAGCAGGAGTTAATTATCCCCTTAATGGGCGGTTAATTATTAGTCACCTCTGTGTAATTGCGCGCCGGCTCCGGGGGTTTTTCCGGTGGAGTTCCTGGGGGGGGGTCCCCCCTCCGGTGGCGACGGGGGGTGTCCCGGTGGCTCCGTGCGCTATGGACCGAGCCGGTCCCGGTACATCGGCTACGTCCTTGGCCCCGGTGTCCCCCCCCGGCCCCGGCGGCCCCCCCGCCCCCCCCGGGCCCCGGTGCCCCGGTGTGCAGCGCGGCACCGTGCTCGGCAGGGGGAGCCCGCGCGCTACCGGCGCCCGGTGATGGGGAGGGGGGGTCCCCGGGGGAGGGAGGGACCCCCGTGGTGCGGGGGGGGGACGACAAACACAGAAGACACCGGGCAGCAGCACCCTGCAGAGGTCCCCGGTACCGGTGCCCCTCACCGCCGCCCCGTTTCCCCACAGCGCTGCCGCGAAGCCACCGATATCGCCCCGTCGGGACCGGGACCGGGACCGGGAACGGCGGTAGGCGCCGTCCGACGGCGTTTCTCCGGGAGCCCCTTGCTGCCGCCGTTGGGATGCCGGTTGGCGGAGGGAGCCCGCGGTCCCGAGCCCGAGGGTACCCGGGTGGTCTTCACCATCGAGGAGAGCGGCCCCAGCAGCGGCGACGAATCCGAACCCCCCCGGTAAGAGTGGAACGGGGAGGGAGGGGAAGTGTTTGCTGGCTCCGGTGGTACCGGGATGGAGTTACCGGACAGGTCGCTGCCGTCGGTACCGCCTCCGGTTTCAGCACCGGCGGGCGGACAGCGGCTCCGGGGCACCGGCACCGGCACCGGCAGAGCACCCGCTGCGGCACCGCTGGGCTCGGGACAAAGCCCTCTGTCACCGGCACCGCTGCTCCGGCCCCGGCATGTCCGTCCTGATCAGCGTCTGTCCCCGTCACCTCCATCCTCAACAGCCCTGTCCCTGTCCCCTCCGTCCCCGTCACCTCCATCCCCATCACCCCATCCCTGTCACCCTGTCCCCATCACCTCCGTCCTCAACGCCCTCGTCCCTGTCCCCCATGTCCCCTCCATCTCCACCGACTCCATCCTCATCACCTCCGTCCCCATCACCCCCATCCCTGTCCCCCATGTCCCCTCCATCTCCACCGACTCCGTCCCCATCACCCCCATCCCTGTCACCCTGTCCCCATCACCCATCCCGGTCCCCATCCCCTGTCCTCATCCTCCTGACCCGCTCCTTGTCCCTGTCCCCTGTCCCAGCCAGGCTGGCCTGGCCCTGGTTGGAGATGACCTCGGTCCCTCCCGCTTGTGGCTCGGCCCCAGCTGTGCTGCTGCAGGGTTATTTTTGGGCCATTCCCCCCCCCCACACACACTCCCTGTGCGTGTCCCAGCCCGGCTTGTGGGGACAACACGGGGCTGGCACAGCCGAGGGACCTGGCTCCGGTGTCACTCCCTGTCCACTCCCTGCACAGACACGTGTCCGGTGGGGACAGCCGCAGCCTGGGAGGGGACAGGGACTGGCTGTCCTGGGGACGAGGACTGGCTGTCCTGCGGCCAGTCCTGCCCCAGCTGTCCCAGGGACTGCTGGCTGCCAGGCAGCCCGGGGGGGGGGCCAGCTCTGCCCCCGCCCCACCATCCCCCAGTGTCCCTCTGTCCCGGTGTCCCTCTGCCCTGATGTCCCCATGATCGTGCTTGCAGTCCCTCAGAAGTGAGGGGGCCCCCTCCACCAGGACCCCTATCTGGTGGGTTTCGGGGTCCCTGCAGGTGCTGCCATGGCGGGGGGGGGCCCATTGCCATCCCTCCTGGGTCCCTGCCAACTGCTGGATATTTTTGTGGCAGTCGGGAACAGCAGGTATCCATCCAGCTGCCTCAGCGGGGCCGTGGCGTCGGGCTGGGCAGATGCCAGCTCCCACGGCCGGGCCAGTGGCTCCCCCACGGGTGCCACTGCCACCGGCCGGGCCTCATCCTGCTGCTCCCTGTCCCCATCAGGCACGGCCCCAGGAGGGGGCTTGGCACGGCAGCAAGGGGGGGCTGGGGGCACAATGTGAGCCCTGGGGCGGGTTTGGCTCTCACAGGTCCCTCAGTGGCACCGTGGCACGGCCACACCGCATGTCTGGGATGCTCCAGGGTCAGACACGTCACTTGGTGGCACCATGGCATGGCCACACCATGTGTCTGGCATGCTCCAGGCTCAGCCGTGTCTCTCCGTGGCACCGTGGTGTGGCCACACAGTGTGTCTGGGATGCTCCAGGTACTGACATGTCCCTTGGTGGCACCGTGGCACGGCCACACCGTGTGTCTGGGATGCTCCAGGCTCAGCCGTGTCTCTCCGTGGCACTGTGGCATGTCCACACTGCGTGTCCGGGATGCTCCAGGCTCAGCCATGTCCCTCGGTGGCACCACGGCACGGCCACTCTGTATGTCCGGGTCGCTTTTGCCGTGTGTGTCCGGACAGAGCACCCCTGCCCTTTCGGGAGCAGCTGCAACCTCGGGGACAGCAGGGTGGCCGGTGGCACAGGGCCAGCGAGGGACCACGTGCCCGAGCAGCCGGGTGCACACCGGGCCGATGCAGCCGGGGGGGGGGACCCGTTCCATGTGCCGACTGCCGGAGCCAGACAGTTGTTTAATTTCCCAGGCGCTGGGCGGGAGGGGGATGGAAAGTTTCCCCGGGGCCGCCGGGGCAGGGGCTGGGACGGCCGCACGCTTCCTGCTCTGCACCGGCGGGCAGCGTGGCCTCGCCGCCGTGCCAGGGGTTCCCTGAGCTGCGCCATGCTGCCCACCGCACAACACTCGCCGGGGACTTCACCGGCGGCGTCCCCCCGCAATTCCCCCCGCAATTCCCCCGTCCTCTTCAGGAAACTCTTGATGAACCAGAGCATCCGCCTGCAGCGGCGCTTCACCGTGGCGCATCCCCTCTGGTAAGGGGGGGGACGCCGGCGGGTCCCCGGCAAGGGGCCACGCTCGGCCCCCGGGTGGGCGGGAGGAGGCACCGGGCTGCGATGCCGGGACGGGGTCAGTATGGCCCCCCCCCCGCCCCCCACCACTGTGTCACGTTCCCAGGGCTGTGGGGACGTGGGGGATGAGCAGGGGACAGCGGGGGTCACCACGCAGCCGGGGGCTGAGCCAGGCAGGGGGGAGCCGCCGGTTGAGCGTGGCTGAGCACTGGCGCACTCATTGCAGCGATGGCCAGGCAGGGACCTGGCAGATGTGACGGGCGTCTGCCCCACAGTGGCGGGGGGGCCGTGGCGGGGAGGGAGAGGGACTTTTCCCGGCACAGCAAGCCACCAAACCACCCACCGCAGCACAGCCGGGCACCTCACCGTGCCCCCCCCCCCCTCCCCGGAAGATATACAGGGGTTGTTTCGGGGTGCCCCCTGCCCACACCCCGGTGTGCCAGTGGGTGCCGGCCCCACCTGCGTGGGCGCCGTGGGGATCAGCAGATCCCTCCTCAGCAGCAACAGCATCTATTTATAGCGGCCCCCGGCCCCCCCCCTCATCACCACTGCCATCCGGCACCGCCTGGCGGTTATTAATGCCGACAGCCTGTCACCGAAAAAAAAAGGGGGGGGGGATTGATTCGGCACCAGCCCTGTGGTGGGGGGCTCGTGTCCCCCCCTGCCCTCCCTGGGGAGTCGGGGTTGTCCCCTGGGGTGGCAGAGGGGGGGGTCAGAGGTGGTGGCACGGGGCCGGGAACAGACACGGGCCTCACCAGCGAGGCCGTCGGAGCCACAATGCGGCTTTGTGTCCCCGGTACCATCGGGGACGTGAAGCAGAGGCAGGAAAACAAGGGGCTGCGGGACGGTATGACGCGGTGCCTGGCTGGCACTGCCGCTGCTGGGGACGGCCACGCCGTGGGGATCGGGGTTACCGGCGGCGTTGCCGAAGCGGGGAGATGCTGCCGGGCAATCGGTGTCCGTCCCGGAGGCATTCCTGCATCGGGTAGGTGCCGAGTTCCCAGCGGCGCGATGGGGATGGGGTGGTCCCAGTGGTACCCCCCGCTTTCCCAGTTCACCCAGTGCACCGGGGTGGCTCGTTCCCGTCTCCCCGCAGCGGTGGCGGCTGCAGGAAGGGACAGGGGCCGGGTGGCCCTCGCCGTGTCCCCGCGCGCAGTCTTTCCCATGACCCCGAGGCCAGTGGAGCAGGAGGGGGGTGAGGCGGCCATGGCCACCACGGGGACACCGCAGGTTCACTGTCCCCATCCCCCGTCCCTCCACAGACCTGCGTGGCTGCCAGGTGGCTCCGGTTGGGGTGTCCCCAGCCCGCCACCAGCACGTCCCCAAGGGTCAGGGTTTGGTTTTCCCGGCGGTTTCTGTCCTTTGACGTCCCCTGGCTCTGTGCCGTGGCAGGGACGCTGTCCCCCTCCGTGGGACACAATGCCCGGAGCCAGGGTTGATGGAGGTTTTGGGACTTTTGAGGACTTGGGACAATCGGGGACCGTGGTGCTGGGGACAGGGAGGGGATGGGGCAGGCAGGGGCCAGCCCTTCCTGGGGTCTCTGGAGCCGGGGGCTTCGGGGCAGGGGGTCCTGTCCCACCTGGGTGACATGGGACAACCTGCCTTTGCTGGCCGGTGTCCCCAGTCCCAGACTCCACTGCGCTGGCAGGGTGCTGAGGGGGTCCGTGTGCACTGAGTTGTGCCTGTTCTCAGCACCGGGGTGAAGGAACCAGTGGGGCCAGACTGGGCAGTGGCTGGTGTCACCGCAGGGGCCACCGAGCCAGGGCGTGCTGGGCTGAGCGGGACGGTGGCACAGAGAGCCTGGCAAACCTGGCGGCATCCCTGGGCTGTGTCCCCGCGCCCGTTGGCTGAGGTCCCTAGGCCACCCGCCCCGTGCCAGCCTCGTCCCCTCTCCCCTCGCAGCTTTGACCTGGAGAATGGCCCCCCCGGCCGGGGCACGCTGGACCCCCAGGCCAGCCCGGGTGCAGGGCTGGTCCTGCAAGGCACCTTCCCCCATGGCCAGCGCCGCGAGTCCTTCCTTTACCGCTCCGACAGCGACTACGACTTGTCCCCGAAAGCCATGTCCCGCAACTCCTCCATCGCCAGCGACCTGTGAGTGTGTCCCGTCCCCCCCCCACTGACTCCCCTGGGACCCCCGGTCCCCTCCCTGAGGCTCACACTCCCTTTGTTCCTGCAGGCATGGAGAAGACATGATCGTCACGCCGTTTGCCCAGGTAGGTGCTGTCCCCACACCCCGGTAAGGAGGGGACACGGCCATGCACCCAGCACCGGGGTGGGTGTCCCAGGGTGGTCTGGCCAGCCCCAGTCCCCTTTCGCCTCCCAGGTCCTGGCCAGCCTCCGCACCGTCCGGAGCAACCTGACCCACCTCCAGGACCGCACCGGCAACAAGTGAGTCGGCTGTGGGATGGCGAGGGCGAGGGTCTCACCTGGGTGGGGGACTCCGACCCGTGGCAAGAGATGGGCGCTGCCCTGGGGGTCCTGGTCGCTCAGCCCCTCCGTGTTTTTACAGGCGAGCGTCGAGCAGCAGCCTGCCCTCCGGGAGCAAGGCCAGCCTCGCTGGTGAGTGCCGGAGAAGGAGGGGGAAGATGGGGAGGATGCTTTTGGTACGAGCTGTCTGTCCCTATATCCCCAGGGATGGGTCCCGCTGGGCCCTGGGTGGGGGGAGCAGAGCTGCAGCTTTGCCCTTTGGGATCCATGTCTGGTTTTCGGCAGCTCCTCCCGCCTGGCCGCCCTTCGCGCCGCGGCGGCGGTGGAAAGGCTCCCGTTGACGTCAAACCTTCCATTAATAAAACCCAGGCGGTGAGCGGGGCCCCACGGGAGCCTGGCTGCCCTGGGGCTGGCCGTCACCCCACGGGGACGGCATGGCATGCCGTGTGCCAGGGCTGCTGTACGATGAGGATTGTGTGACAGGGCTGAGACCCGCTGCCTGGGGATGCTCGACCCCGGCCCCCGGCCCCAGCCAGTGCCCCGCATCCCCCTGTGCCCCCGTCCGCCCCGCTCAGGGGGTGATGTGAGCAGCCAAGCCGGTGAACCCCCGGGCTTGGTGTGGCACAACCAACCGCCGGGGCTCGGGGCGCCGTGGCCGGGACCCTGCGTGTGCCCCCGTGCTGGGTTGCCGTGCCATTGGCAGATCCCTTGCCAAGCTGGTGGGTGCCCCTGGCAGAAGATGCCCATCAGAAGCTTTCGCGGGAGACTCTGGAGGAGCTGGACTGGTGCCTGGACCAGCTGGAGACGTTGCAGACCAGGCACTCGGTCAGCGAGATGGCCTCTAACAAGGTAAGGGTCCCTGGCACAGAGTCCCCCATCACCCTGGGGGGTACCCCTGTACCACAGACCCCCCTGGGATGGGCAGCGGGGGGTCCTGCTTGCCCCCTGCACCGCTGAGCCCTGCCTGCTGCCCGCAGTTCAGAAGGATGCTGAACCGGGAGCTGACACACCTCTCGGAGACCAGCCGCTCCGGGAACCAAGTCTCCGAGTACATCTCCAGCACTTTCCTGGGTGAGGACCCTCCCCTGGGGACACCGCCTGGTGTCACCTCTCTGCCAGCAGCAGGGTGGGCTTCGCACCTGGGCACGAATCCTGTGGTACTGGGTGCCCGCTGGGATGGTGCCAGTGGCTGGTGCTGCTTGCTTCTTGCAAAGAAATTTAAAGGGGGAGTGGAGGGGGGGGCTTTCCCAGGTGTCCCCATGGGATTTGCTGTCTTGGGGGGTGTCACAGCCTTTGTCATGGCTGGGAATGCTGGTGCATACTGGTGCATACTGGTGTATATCGGTGCACTGGGGCTGTCCCTGTGGTCCCGAAGGGTGCCCAGGGCAGGGTCTGGGTCCTATGGCAGGCGGTTGGCCCCGTGCAGGGGGGTGAGGGAAAGCGTTGGGTATCCCCCATGAAGCCCCCCCCCCCGTTGCCATGGCGTTGCGGTGCTATCCTTGCCAGCTGACATCATCAGCATGACCGGGGAGAGGGATGCTGGGGAGGGGGAGTGGGATCAGGCTCCCACCCTGCTCACGGCCCCCCATGCCGGCCCAGACAAGCAGCATGAGGTGGAGATCCCCTCGGCGCTGGCCAAGGACAAGGAGAAGGAGCGGAGGAAGCGCCCCATGTCCCAGATCAGCGGCGTCAGGAAGCTCACGCACGGCTCCAGCCTTGCCGCTGCCGGCATCCCCCGTTTTGGGGTGCGGACGGACCAGGAGGGGTTGCTGGCCAAGGTGGGCCCCAGCGTGGGTGACCCGGCTGACTGTGGGGTCCCCGGCGCTGGCCCCGCATGGACGCCTGTCCCTCTGGTCCCCAGGAGCTGGAGGACACCAACAAGTGGGGGCTCAATGTGTTTAAAGTCGCCGAGTACTCGGGCAACCGCCCGCTGACGGTCATCATGTACAGCATCTTCCAGGTGAGCATCCCAACAGGATGTCCCCGTCCCTGTGCCTGGATGGGGACGAGCCACCTCCTGCCTCCCTGCAGGAGCGTGACCTGATGAAGACCTTCCGCATCCCTGTCAACACCTTCATCACCTACATGCTGACTCTGGAGGACCACTACCACGCTGACGTGGCCTACCACAACAACATCCACGCTGCTGACGTGGCTCAGTCCACCCATGTCCTCCTCTCCACGCCTGCGCTGGAGGTGAGCCCTGATTGCCCGAGGCCACCAAGTGTGTCTGGCGGGGCCATAACACACCTGCAATGCCTTTTTTTACCATTCCTAGGCTGTCTTCACAGACCTGGAGATCATGGCTGCCATCTTCGCCAGCGCCATCCATGATGTTGACCACCCTGGTGTCTCCAACCAGTTCCTCATCAACACCAGTGAGCCAGGGTGCAGGGATGGAGCTGGGGGGGCGCGGGGGACCCCGGCATCCAGGAGCCACTTTGGGGTGACCGGTGCCATCTCGCAGACTCGGAGCTGGCGCTGATGTACAACGACGCCTCAGTGCTGGAGAACCACCATCTGGCCGTGGGCTTCAAGCTTCTTCAGGAGGAGAACTGCGACATCTTCCAAAACCTGAGCAAGAAGCAGAGGCAGTCACTCCGCAAAATGGTCATTGACATGGTATGGGGTCGGGGGGGGGATCTGGGCTGGGGGGGCTTTGTGGTGGGGTCAGGCTGAGCCCCATTCCTGCCTTGCCCTGCCCAGGTGCTGGCCACGGACATGTCCAAGCACATGAATCTACTGGCGGATTTGAAAACCATGGTGGAGACCAAGAAGGTGACCAGCCTAGGGGTGCTGCTGCTGGACAACTACTCGGACCGGATCCAGGTGGGTGTGGGGACACAGGTGGGGAAACCTTCCTGGAATTGCAGGTGTTGGTCCTGGCTCCGGCCAGGGCTGCCAGGATGTCCTGTTTGGTGCCACCACCCCTCCCAACCCCAGTTAGCCATGGCCAAGGAGGTTCCTGGCGCAGGGGTGGTGGCTCTGGGGGACAAAGGACTTTTTAGGTAAGCGATGCCGTGGCTGTGTCCGCAGGTCCTGCAGAACATGGTGCACTGCGCCGACCTCAGCAACCCCACGAAGCCGCTGGAGTTGTACCGGCAATGGACTGACCGCATCATGGTGGAGTTCTTCCGCCAAGGCGATCGGGAACGGGAGAAGGGGATGGAGATTAGCCCCATGTGCGACAAGCACACCGCCTCCGTGGAGAAGTCCCAGGTGGGGCAGCGGTGTGGGGTTGGGGGGGAGGCCACAGAGTCGGGCTGGGGGCTCAGGTCTGTCTTCCCCCAGGTGGGCTTCATCGACTTCATCGCCCACCCGCTGTGGGAGACGTGGGCCGACCTGGTGCACCCCGATGCCCAGGAGATCCTGGACACGCTGGAGGACAACCGGGAATGGTACCAGAGCATGATCCCGCGCAGCCCATCCCCACCGCCCGAGGGACCTGGAGTGTCCCCCGCCACCACCGACAAGTTCCAGTTCGAGCTGACGCTGGAGGAGGAGGGTGAGTCGGACACAGAGCTGGAAGGGGCCGAAAGCCCCTTGGATGAGGACAACAGCGGCTCCAAGACACCAGCCACAGACGACTCGGAGTTGGCCGACACCGAGCATCTGTCACCCGGCCCCGGGGACCAAGATTCACCTGTCACCCACCCCAGGGACGTGGACAACCGGCAGGCGCTGGAGGGGACGCTGCCGAAGGATGGCGGTGGTGGCGGGTGCTCGGTGCTGGGGCCTGAGGGCAGCCAGGGCCTGTGCTTGGACACAGAGGGCAACGTCACATTCCTGCCCCTGAGCACGTAGCAGCACTGGCCGGTGGGTCCCCTCGCTGCCATGGGGACGTGGGACTGGGCGCTGCCCTGGCAAGAGCTGGGGGCAGTGGGCTGGCAGTGGAGAGCACCGGCACCGCAGGGACCGGGGTGGCCGCCAGGACATGGAAGAATCCTAAGCGTGTCCCCATGCAGGAGCTGGGCAGGTCCTGATGGGCACAAGGATGCTGCTTGCCCTCTCCCAGCAACTGTCCCCTGCTCCCATCCAGCGTCCCTGTCCCCTTCAGACAGGGCTTGGGGACACTGTGCTCCTGCCCCATCGCAGCCCTGGGGACATCATGCCCCACAGGGCTCCAGGAGGAGGTCCCCCACGGGGCCAGGCGTAGGCAAAAGCATTTCGGCGTCTCTCTGGTTGGCCCCTTGCAGAACAGCAGCCCCACGGCGGGACGGCGAGGTGGGTGAAGGGTGCTGGAGACAGACCCCAGCACGAGGGACCTCAGTGTGGCCAGGCACCAGGGCACAGCACAGGCACGAGTCAGTGGTTTATTTATTTGGGGATAGGTTCACTTTTTAAAGCCTTTTGTAGCTCACTTTTTAATACAAGCCTCACCTAGGTGCACTCACACGCGTTCCTGTGGCAGAAAGATGCATTTCTGCTCTGTGATCAGCACTCGAAATGCTGTGTTTGTACTTTGCACTTTGGGCCCCAGCGGGCACTGCAACCCCCAGGGCAGCCGCCGGGGTCCTTTTGGTTTCTTCCTTCACCTTCCAGAGATTAAACCTGGTTTGTTCCCCCCAAAATGTGAGACTTGTAAGCGCCTCTTTTTACCGTGCTGCTGGCAGGGGAGCCATGGTTGTGCCGGTCAGGCCAGTGGCCCCAGAGACCGGTGTGGTTGGTGGCCCTGTCTCCTGCTGGGCAGCAGGGAGGGCCCTGCTCCGTCTTTGAACAAAAGCAAGCTCCTCCCTGGAAATGTCGATCCATCACTGGCAAACACAACCGGCTAAGGTAAATATTTAATCGCCGGCTTGGCGTGGCACAGAGCCCGGTCCCCCTCTCTTCCGCATTGCTCCCAACGGTGATTTGTATCTGCAAACATGTCCCCACCCGTGGCACTCTTGGCATGTGGGGCCCCGCCAGCTCTCACCCCACTGCCCGCCCCGTGCTCCCCCATCGGCAGTGAGGCTGTGGGAGCTGGATGTTCCTTTCCCAGCCCAGTTGGTTTCCAGGGCTTGGCCAGGAGTGCCGGGTGCTGCACGGGCGGGTGGGTGGCTCTGTCCCATCCCTGCCTTGCAGGTGGGTGCTCGGGCATCCCCTGCTCTCTCCCAGCAGAGAGGGGCTGCGTGCCGGCAGGTCGATAGGAACCAGGTGAGGCTCTGTGCTGCCAGAGCTCCGTGGGTGGCCTCATGCTGCACCCAGATCCAGTCCTAGGCTCTCTGCCAGGCTGGGAGCACAGCAGGAGCTGGTTGAAAAAGCCCTTTTCACCCCTTGTTTGGCTGAGGGGCTTGCAGCATCCATGCACCAAGGAGGGTGGTGGAGCCTGTGCCTGGAGGAGGTGAGGGGCAGTAGCCGGATCCATCCCTGCCTCCCGGTCGTGCCTTGACGGACTGCCGCTGCAGTCCCTCTGCTTCTGGGTGCTCCAAGCCGTATTCCTGCTGGGGGTGCTGCTGTCGGGCAGCTCCAGTGCCCACCGTGTCCGTCCAGGCTCCAGGCAAAGCCCCAAAGAGCCAGGGGCATCTGGCTCTGTCCTCCCACCGGCTGTGGCATCCTCGGCGAGTCCCTGCGGTGGTGAGGAGCTGCACCAGGATGCAGGCCCTTGAGTCCCCAATGGCCGACGTGCTGCCACAGGCAGGGCAGGGCAAGGCAGGGCCAGCCTAGGAGGCTCCAGGCGTCTGCCGGGCTCCGGGCAGGGCAGAGGCAGGCCCGGGCGAGGGCAAGGCTGGTGGGCAGGGGACCGCTGCTGCCCCAGGGCCTTGGACCCCCCCCCCGGGTCGGGCCTCCGCCACCCTCCCCATGGGGCCCGCCATATGCTGCCTCCCCTTAATCCCCGCTGATTGCCTCAGGGCGAGGGAGGACGCAGGGGCCCGGGCAGGACATGGCCGCCCACCTGGGCCCCTCGCCTCAGCTTGGGCCGGGCACTGGGGGTACTGGGAAGCACTGGGAGCAACCGGGCTTCACCTCAGGGCCTGGTGCCACTGTCAGGGGATGGAGTCAGGCTGCCTGTGGCCGCAGGCCTGAGGGGGGCCGGCGATAGGGGGTCATGTCATGACATCGGAGGCTGTGAGGGCTCGCCCCCCCCTTCAGCGGCCAGGACTCCCCCCCCCCCCCGAAGGGTGAATGGTCCGCCCCGCGCTCCCCCACCCGGCGTGGGGATGGTTCAGCCCCCAGCCCCTGGGCTCCGCCGGACCACACCACTGCGCGCCGCGAGGGGGGGAGCGGCGCCCACCACCGCGCCGGGAGAGGGGTGTGTGTGTATGTTCTCCTTCCCCCCCCACCCCGCCCAGCCTATCACCCACCAGCTGTCCATCACAGCGCGCTGCCAGCCAATCACCACTCCCCCCGGGGCCCTGCCTACTGACGCC